TTTACACTATACTTACTCTCGCATTTAACGTTGAACCACGAGACCTGTATCACCACGACCATGCGATCTGGTTTTGCACCAATTTAGGGATCGAATTTGGGTAGTACTATTATTGTCAGCGTGGCTAGTGAAATAAATCAAGGTAGTATTAAAGTGATCTAAATCTTTAGACTAAAAGTAAGATTTGTTACACAAAAATAGTACCTACTGTGTCAACAATGACATTACCGAAAATGCTTCATTACACGCTGGGAGAAAGTTTCTTGTGACGACACAATAAAAAATTGCGAACATTGTACAGGGTCTTTCTCCATTTACATATACATATTGACCCCCCCAGTACAGGAGTTATGTAAAGAGATATCAAAAAATTGTAAATACAAAAGTGTTCGGGTTTTACGTGAAATATTTCATTTTAATGTCAAAAAGTTTTTTTTTTAAATGTCAAATTTTGACAGATGTTGAAAAGAGTCGATTTTTCTGATTTCAAATATATATGGTTCAACTATTTTTAATTGAGCCGTTTTGGAAATATTGGAGTCTAAACTTCAAGAAAATAATACATTAATGGCCGTTTGAACCGACCATTTTATGGTAGCCTTAGCGATAAGTATTGCTCAAAGTGACATTTCTCCATGTAAAAATGTCATTTAAAGGAATACTTATCGCTAAAGGCTTCCTTAAGCCTAGTACTCATAACTGTGAAATTCGCTCTTTTTTGACATTGCTTCGACAATTTGACGTTTTATTCACGCATAAAACGTCAATTTGTCGAAGCAATGTCAAAAAAGTGCGAATTTCGCAGTTATGAGTACAAGGCTTTAAAACGGTCGGTGCAAACGGCCCTGAAACACATAAGCTCTGTTCCAACCGACCTGAAAACCGTTCTAGAATGATAATTTCCAGTTGTCCACCTGTTTTTCAATAATTTGAACGTTTATTCTAATTCACAAATTAATTGAGCGACTAGAAATAACCGTTCTAGAACGGCTCTCATGTCGGTTAGAACAGAGCTGGATGTGTTTCAATGTATTATTTTCTTGAAGTCTAGATCCCGATATTTCCAAAACGGCACAATTAAAAGTATTTAAATCAAATATAGTAAACACATCAAAAAAATCTAGGGAACAAGAATAAGAATTGTTATAACTTTTTGAAAACCCCATATATTATCCTAAAAATTTGTGCGGCTATAAATGATACTAACGTTCTTTTAACACTACCAACAAAAAATAAAATTTCACAAGAACAAAAATTATTCTAACAATTATACCAAAAAAAAAAGAAAATCTCAATAACTTGATAGGCGAGAAATCTCACAAAAACAAAATTTCCGATTGTTTGTGCTCTTTCAATAAGATGTGTGTCCTCCCCGTCCATTCATTACAGCCCGGCATCTGTTGGGCATGCTTAAAATGAGATGGTCAATTTCCATTTGGTTCGTAGTATTCCATAGGTCAGAAAGACAATTAAACAGCTGTTCTCTTGTGTGAAACTGCCTTTGTTGACGAAGAAGTCTTTGTCCCATTGAATCCCACAAATGTTCAATGGGATTGAGGTCTGGGGACTGCGCAGGCCATGGCAAAACATTAATATGCTCAGCTTCTAGAAAGTCACGCACGCGCCGGGCTGTGTGTGGACGTGCATTGTCGTGCATTAGTTGGAAATTCGGACCAAACTCTGCAGCATATGGAAGGACAACAGGTTCCAAAATACTGTCACGATAACTGGCAGCATTTAAAAAGCCGTCCAATAGAACGAGGTCAGTTCTTCCTCCGACACGAATCCCTCCCCACACCATTATTGTTCCACCCTGGTAGCTGAATACTTCCTGAGTCGAGGCAAGACGTTCCAGATTTCCGGGTCGTCTCCACACGCGAATTCGACGTGAATCTGGATGAAAACCGAATCGGGATTCGTCTGTAAAAAGTACCGTAGACCATTCTTGATTTCCCCAGTGTTGATGTTCTTGTGCCCATCCTAGTCTTTGTGCGCGATTATTTCTCCTTAGCGGGGGAACACGGAGCGGCCTGCGAGCATGAAGGTTGAACTGGTGCAACCTGTTTCTGACAGTTTGGCTGGTCACAGTAATATGGTGTGTGCGGTATAACTCATTTGCCAACTGACCCGCTGTAACAGTACGATCTCGTAGTGCCTGTAATCGAATAAAACGGTCATGTAGAGGGTCAATTGCTCTCGTAGGACCAGTGTGCAGTTCTCTCACATCTCCGGTCTCACGATATCTCGTCATCAATCGACAAATCACACTAGCTGATGTGTTAAGTAGGTACCTCCGCTACTGCTCTATAGTTTTGGCCCCCTTCAATCATCCCCACTGCTCGCCACTGTTCTTCCCGATTTAAATGTCGTCTTTCCATCGTGAATAACTAAACTGAACACTAATTCGAATACCAAAAATCTCATTTTGTCCTGCATAGAAACAAAAACCAAAAGAAAAAAATACGATATTTTTATCTATAAAAGGCAAAAAAATTTTATGCACATTTTATCAATTGCCAATCCTTCAAAAAATTGTATTTTTTAAACAAAAAGGTATCAGATATATCTGCAAAAATTTTCACTATAATACCTGGTGTCTCCAAAAAGTTATAACAATTTTATTCCTTGTTCCCTAGATTATTTTGATGTGTGTATTTGAATTCAGAAAAATCGACCCTTTTCAACCAATAAAGTCATATGTAGGGTGTTTCATAAGAAAAAACTGATCTGTCAAAATTTGACATTTATAAGAAACAAAAAAGTGTTTGACATGGGATTCAAAAATTTCAGGTGAAACCCCAAATTTTTTGTATCTAAAATTTTTTGATATCTCTTCACATAACCCCTGTATGAGGGGGGTTAATACATGGGGAAAGACCCCGGGCCAGGTGTTGGAAAGGACCTCGCACACCTTACAAGGGATTTCAGCGATCGGTCGATTTTTTTCAAATTTTGATATGTTGTAGAGGATTTAATTTTTAACAACCTTCAAATGGGACGAAATCTTGTAGGTATTATGAACGTTGAAAGATGAACTCTTTTGATACTTTTTGTTGGAGAGCACAGAACGTGGAGAGTATACGAAATACTGGTCTTTATCAGTCAAAATATTGACAGGCTCACATATTTTACGTCACTTACAAATACGATGTTGACATTTGCTAGTGACGTAAAATATGTGAACCTGTCAATATTTTGACTGATAAACACCAGTGTTTCGTATACTCTCCACACAAAAAGTCGTAAAAAAGTTCATCTTTCAACGCTCATATCTCAAAGACCGTAACACCTACAGATCTCGCTCCATTTAAAGGTTGTTAAGAAGTAAATCCTCTACAACATATCAAAATTTGAAAAAAATCGGCCGATCGCCGAAATCCCATATTAGGTGGGCGAGGTCCTTTGACCAGCCAACGGATCTTTTCATTGAGAGACGAGAGAAGTGTTAGACGTCATCGTCCTGGCAAGTTTACCAAGAATGCCAATAGGTTGTACAGAACATCGAAGCATCTCAAATCATACCCAGGAATTGAACATCAACCGCAGAACTCAACAACTAATTTCAATACAGGTTTTGCATTTTCATGCTTACAAAATCCAGGTATTTCAAGAGCTGAAGCGAGCCGATCATAGACAGAATGTAGGAACTTCTCGAAGTAAATCTTGGAGCAATACAAAGTTAACGATGTATTATGACCAAAATATTATTTAGTTGCGAGGCTCATCTCAATAGTTACCTCAACTAGCAAAATTCGCAGATTTTGCACATATGTACATCTTAAAAAAGACACAGTTTGGTGTGCCTGCGCCATATGGACCGAAGGGATTAGGGATTATCCGACCGAATTTTCACACAAACGTTACTGCCAATGGTGATAGCTATCGTGACACGTCGGCACCTTTTTTTTTTGGTGAATGGAACGTGGTTTTAGTAAAATGCCATCTGCCACACAGCATGGCTTTATTGCAAACAAATTTTCCAGGTCCTGTCATCTCTTGTTTTGGAGGCCAAAACTGGCCACCAATGAGTTGTGATTTGACTCTTTTCGACTTATTTCTCTGGGAATTTTGAGAAGTAGGATCTAGGTTTCCAACTTCCCGATTATAATGTCCAAGTACTCAATAATTTTCACCTAGGTATTGTAATCTTGTCAAATACCTATGCTAATGGAAAAAGGAGGCAGTTGCATTTTTAAAAGTAATTGGAAATACTCTAAAACTAAAATAAAAGTTCATTTCTAACAAAATTTAACAGAAACGTGCCTGAAATAAAATAAATTATTATTTCCTGTTCTATACATAAATCAAAACCAAATATATTTGTTTTTTCATCGGTATTTAAACAATCGGTAAAATTCAACATTCCAAATGAAGAACTCAACAATTTAAAGACGGGGAATGATGTCATACCCAAACTAAAGTTACGTGCCGTACTCTAATCCGTACCAAGTGATCATCAAACGATGAAATATTCACCAGCTTTCGAATATCATTACCATATTACCAAAAACCTGTTCGAGGTGAAGCGATAATCGCATTTAAACGTTTTTTCGTAACTGATTTTTAGTGGTCATTAAATTAGCATTTCATACAGGTTCATTGAATTCTTCTTTTTCTGTTATATAATCTATAATTCTATAAAAAATGAAAAACTTTGATATTTTATAAATAATCAATACATTATGTACCTAACTAAGCATATTTAGCCAAGATCATAATTCATCATTGCCCACAAACAAAGAGCTGATTCAAACAGAATTATAAGTCGCGAGTTATTTAAAAGTTACGCCATATCCTTCAATCTTATTAGAACCTACACATATACGGCTATGCATGAGAAAATCATAATATATATATTTTCAATGGTACCATTAACATAGTGGCAAGGTTTTTTGCTTCAAGGATGCAATTTTCAACGCAGAGGAAAATACCACAACGCGAACACACATAATTTTTTTAGTACCTATACTTTTAAAATAATTAATTTTTTTTTCTTTCAGTTTGCTGGTCTTTTGCTTGCAATCTTTATCATGGAACTTACAGTAGGAATTTGTGCAGCAGTCTTCAAAACCGACTACAAAGTTGCCTTCAAAGAATCACTCTCTGAATCATTGAGACACGTTTTATCTAATGCCAGAGACAGGACGAATAATAACTATTATGATGTTGCTAGAGATAGGGTAAGTACATACAAATTATAACAAGAATAATAAATAATGCTGAAAATGTATAATTTTTGTAGCCTGCCGGAGGTGCTGGTTCGTACGGCACTGCTTATGATGCCATCGATGGACGTGATAAGAACTATTGGGACGTATTGCAAAGACAAGTGAGTAAATTTTGCATATACCTACATAATATTTATTTCAGCAAGTTAGTATGCTTTATTGATATTTTGTGGATTTTAAACAATTTTTATAGCTTTTGTCCTTGTCGGCACAAATTGAATGCTATTCCTAGGTAAATAAGTAAATTCAATATTTATTTTAGTTCAAATGCTGTGGTGTCGATGGTCCTAAAGACTGGCCCGATAACATCAGACCAATTTCCTGCTGTTTGGACAAATTCTGTTGGGGAGATACTGCCGTTTATCACCAAGTTGGGTGCTATGATACTTTGGTAGAGAAAATTCATTCCAGTACCGCCGTGCTCGTTTATACTGGAATTGGGATCGCATTTGTAGAGGTAAGAATCAAAATCTAGACTTCTTTAGGCAGCATTGGTTTTTTGAAACAATATTGTTTGATAAATAAAAGTGCTTGAAAGCTAACCAACAATGTAAAAAATTTTCCACTAAACTAATAACAACCTCTGCTTACTGTAGCTGTAGAAGAAATATTGAAAATTGTTGGCACTACTTCTCAAATAGCCTGCTTCACTTGATTTAATAGCATTGCATGATGACACAATTTTTTTTTTTCTACAGGTAAAATGAATGTATTCTTTTCAATTTAGGAAGATCTTTCCACCTCATAAATGTACATTTATTTTGGGTTTGTAATTTTCTTTCTCGTGATTTTGATTTATTAAAATTCGCAGCATTTTGCCATTAACTGAATTCATAAAATTCTTCCGAACGTTTTGATAATAATTCCTGTCCCTCGCCCTTAAATTCAATTAAGGAAAAAGGTTCCTCATATTAACTAATTAGTAAATTAAAATTCTGGGCACTTCATTACAACGTGACACAATTTAAGGATAAACAAAACATGATAATGTATGTTCTGTCAATTTTTTTGTAAGGAAAAATATTGAAAAATATAATTGATTACCTATCTTATATCACTCATTAAACTGAAAATTCAAAGAAATGTTTGAACCCTTTTAATTATTTTATTATCGAACCTTCTTTTATTTTCTCTCTCTCCAGGGTCAGTTTTTTCATTTATAGCTGAAATTCAATTATATATAAACCGTTATTTATAATATTTCAATCACTCGTTTGTTACATTAAAAGTATTCACAAATGTCCAATAAAAATATGCTAATATTGGTTCAACTGAAAATAAAATTTCTATAGTTTACCAGAAAATAAATATATTTTTAAATATGTCTTGCCCATAACAAATATTTTAAGACTTTTAAATTATAATTTAATTAACAAACGACATCATAGTTAATACGATGTGCTTACCAAGTCAATAAATAACCATTTCTCAATACCAGGTACCTACCTACCTAGTGCCTAATTTATTTTATGAATGTCCTATTAATAAGTAGGTACCTAGCCCAAAATATGCAAAGGGGAAAGTGACATAGGTAATTGATGTTAAAACGTTGAACCCTAATTGAACATGTACACACATTTTGGTAATTAAACTTTGAAGAAGTTCTTAGCTCATTAAAAACTTTCCAATCGATTTTTACTTATCCGATGGTTAATTGCAAGTTTCTTCAATAATATTTTTATTCTAATATTTTCTTTTAAATAAATAAGAACCTAGGTACTATTTTTCTTTCTAAAAATAGTTTTAATGTGAGCAGGTGAGTTAATTAATTATGTATCTGAGTAGAAATGACCAGTAATTTATTTACCATTTTCCACTATAATAACTCACGACAATCATTTGAAAATATGGCAAACGGATAGGAAGTGTGACCAAATGAGCTTAAACTATGAATGAATCATGATTCCAATGTTTCTCTGAGCCCATCACAAATCTTTAGGAAAACATTCTTGTGTCCCTGCTGTTTAATGTTTTCCAAAAACATGTTTTTGTGTCCCATTTGTTTGGCCATTTGTTACTTCTATCTCTGCTCACTGATTCCAAATAATAATAATAATTTTTGAATGCTCTTATTTATTGAGAAGACGATTATGCCATCCCGCCTTTTTGTGGTTGAATCATCAATGGATTTCAGTGTGTCAGCTCATACATCATCGCTAATAAGTATTGCCTCGAAGGTTTCATTACTTTTACATGCTATAGAATAGAATGTCGGCTAGAGGGGAAAACAGAAGAATTCCGCACAGGGATTGGAAAAACCAAAGTAGTCCAGTCTCGGAATGGAGTTACTGACGTTATTTACAGGCTTCAATGATCGTCTGAATTTCCTGGCGACTGACGTGACTTGTTGCATTATCAGATCACGTAGTCTATCTGCCTATTGATTGAACTCGTCCCCGTGATTCACATCCTCATCTGGGTGTTTATTTGGGTGGCTGAATTATCTGAGAAAACTTCATATTTGTCCCTATTAGAATATACAGTTTCATTGACCACGTGCAATTGTGGAATGATGGTTCCCAGAAACTTCTGCATTTGCCACACAGAGTCGTCAGTATTGCTGGAGTTCTTGAATCTTCTGTTCACATCAGTTGTTGCTGTCTTCTTTCTTATTGGCTTCCTTTAGTCTTCAACTATTCTGGTTAAGAGCTCTGTTATACCTCTCAGATTTTAGATTTTTGGTTTCCGAAATCTCGCGTGTTTCCGGCTACCATGGCTTTAACTTCTTTCGGAAGTTTTCCGTTTGGCATTTGCTTGGTTACGGTACATTCCGAATCCGCTTTAAAACTGCAAGTTTTAACAGCCACTTCCAACTGAGTTATAAACCACTAGGGTGATACATATGCTGTATGCCTTCGCTTATAGCTGTACTACCTGGTAGTGCGTTCAAGCTGATTTATCTTCTTGTATAGGGCTCGATCCGATTATCAATTTGTACCGGATTGGAATTTGACCAATCTCCTTCTATAGTTTCTATTTGAAAGTCTTCTGCGACATTTTTCAAAATTGCTATGTCCAGAACAGTAGCTGGTGGGTACGTTGATTTTAACCCCTCGAGTGTCTGCATGTTTTTCTAGCCTAAGTCCGTTAAAACCATTGGACTTTCAGCCTACAGATTTACTACAGGTCACGAAATATGATTGTGCAAATCCTTTCTTGCAGAAAATCTCATATATCTTTTCCCAGTAAAATTTCCAGTGGTGCTAAATAGGGTAAAGACTTTTTAAATTTGACCTTCACTCCCGTGTTAGAGGGTTGTAGGCCTGTTTTACTGGCTACTCCATCAGCAGGTTAGAAAGGTATATCTCGTACCATCTGATCGAGATTCTGCTCACATGATTCATCTTGGTCTCTTGCACAGCCAATTTGTCTTCTAGCTCTTGATACGCTGACGTTCTAGGAGATAATTTTTATTGGTCCAACCTCTCAGATGGCTAGTTCCGTGAGGAGCTGCTTCCATATCCACTGCTGGCAACATTATTTTCAATCATAGACATCACAGTTGCCATGATCTTATTGATCATATCCTTGAAGCCGCATTAGGGGAGATGGGAGCCTTTGGTGTGGCTTTCTAAGGTGGAGCGCTTTGAACTGCAAAACCCCTACGGCCCTTCTGGTACAGCATGAAACCTTTCACCCTCTTGTGGCTGACACGAATATCATGCAGTGTTGTTCTAGTCAAAGATTTGGATGAGTGCCATGTAATCCGTCATATATTTGGGGTGTGGGAATGGTGTTAGTCGATATTTGATGATATTATTCTTCTTTGCTAGACAGTTCTGTCGCTATTTTGGATTGTTATCGATTGGGATATGGCAGCTGCTTTGTGCGAGACTGCTTGGGTTTGTTTGGGTTACCTAGTCTACCCGGCCAGGCGTGAGCTCTTCGGATCAGGGACGGGCGTGGACTAGTGACACATCTACAGAGTCGTCGCCCACTGAGTCTTCTTCCTCGTCGACCTCTTTTTGACTCTCTTCGTAGACGATCTCACTATCGAATTGTCCTCACAAAGGCAGAAGACGGCAACTGATGCAAATTTTGCGAATCCACAACTTGAAACCGCAGAACATTTACTCTGCGAATGTCCGGCCCAACTCAGGAAGGTGATCGAGTATTTCGAGGGGGTATTACCAATATAACAAAAATCAACCCCCAGAAAATAGCTTACTTCGGAAGAAGCCTGAATTGTTTGGATACAAACTAATATTAAGAATCATGTACACAATATATCTGCAATGGTAGTAGTGCCGAGTGGCTTCAACAGCCAGAACGTCTTTCCACGCAGTCTACATCCGAATTGTCCGAATTCACTGAGGTGATTTCGGGTGAGTAAGATTTCTTTAAATCTTTTCACGCTTCTGCGCAGCAGTTCTCGCCAGTAACACATCGACTTTCTTTTGCTGTGCAGAAGCGCGGCGTCTTCAGCCCAGCACTTCATTCAGGAGGGTCTTTTCTGTGGCGTTCTCAGCGCGAATGCCCTTCATGTTTCCGTTCGGAACGGGTTTTTTTATTGGGCTGAAAATGAATGGGAATTAGAGGATGACTCGTGGGGGTCACCTCGACGATTTCAATAATGGACATAGAAAACCATGTTTACAATTGGGGCATAATAGCTCCACAATTATTTTAAAAAAATGAAAAATTGATAACCATGCTTATGAGGAAGAAATATATGTATAGTAAATATGCAATAAAAAATGCATGAGGACATGAAACTCAAGACTTAGCTACTCTAAATTTTCTTCGCACTCTTGCACAACTTCAGCTTTTGGCATGTTTCCACTACCCATGTCTGAGCTTGAATGACTCTGAGCTTGTATCTGATCACAGATGTTTTTGCTTCGATTCTGAGAGCTGTTTTAAGTGCAATAATTTATTACTTCCTTATCCTTTTTGTGCCTATACTGATTCTCCATATTATTTTCATGTACTTCTTGCTAGGTATTATTCGTTAGCTTGTCTTCTTTGTTTTTTCTATGTCAAACAGAGTTTTGTTGTAGGTATCGACACATGTATTCATTTTATCTACTCCACATCGTAATTTTTATGTTTCCTATTTCCTTTATTTCATTACTATGGGCCCATATTGTTCGAGGCTTGTGGGAATTTTTCAGAATAAGATATTAGGTATCACTTAAAATTTTACTATGAAATAGGAAATTTAAACTCTGTGTCGTTTATTTAATCCGTTCTTTATATTAACAACAGTCGAAAATTTGAGTTATCATCAGTTTGCCGATGTTTTCATAAGGTTTTTTTAAATATTTTGGTCATAAAAAAACATCCAGCTTACAGTCCGAATTAAAAATACATAGGAAGTTCCACCGTAAACCGAGTAACAATTTTGAGTTTTGATCCTATATACACGCATTTACCAAGCTTTGAAGAATATTACATATTTTGCAATATTTATTAATTCATTACCTTTAAAATAATAGCCTCCGGTATCATTGATTTTGTTATTTATGATTTATGCTTTCAGGTGGTGGTTTTCGGGAACTAAAACCCCCAAAATCTCATGATAACTGACCAAAAAAAATTTGCTTGTTTTCAGGTTCTTGGGATATTCTTAACCTGTTGGTTAGCCGGCCTAATCAAAGAAGATTAAAAATATTTTGTCACATGTTAGTCTAGAGATTTAAATGTGTGTGTTCAAAGACCTTAATAACCATTTTGTGCATTAAAAAACCACCACCATAATCTTCAGTATTTTGTGTTGACCAGTGCATAAAAAGAATGAATTTGTTTCCAGATCCTAGGGATATTTTTAACGTGCTGGTTAGCCAATTCTATTGAAAACGACGATGACGAAGTTATTAAAATTCACAATGGCCATCATGAACATCGCGCGCATTCCGAATCGCACAGTTCAGAAACACCAATTTAATTTAGATGTTTCTTTTTTAATTGTATTTTGAGGAAAATATTTTTTTAACTGACATTATATTGTATGTATTATTATTTTTTTTAATGCACCATAGAAAATATAGGGGTTGCAAAAATAACAAAATCTAGGAGGGCAACTTAACAAAAATTTTAAAGTCAGAGCGATTGTCAAACGGTCCATTTTTACCAGAATATAGTTTATTCCTGCATTCTTAGTCTTCAATTATTTTTGAGTTCAATATGCTTTGTAGTATCTATAAGTCAAATTTTTGCAACCCCTGCAATTTAAACCACCACCCAGCATCACCATTTTTTATTATGCATGTTTTGAATTTATTTTATATTAGAATTGTGATAGTTATTGAACTGAATGTAAAAGTTTGTCGTTAAAGTTACAAATTGATTGATGATTTCTTTGCAGATTCTAGGAATATTTATAACGTGTTGGTTAGCAAACGCGATTCGAATTGACGACGACGAAATCATAAAAATTCACAACGGCCATCAATTACACACGCATTCTGAAACGTAGTAGAAAAAAAAACGAAAACAACGATTAAATTAATTATTGTAATACACACAAATGAAGAAGTTTCAAAAAAAGTTTATGAATTTCTGCAAATCAAACCTTCCAAAGTAGCATTTTTTTGAATCTTCTTGTAAGTGTACCGGAATAAAAATATTTAAAAAAATCTAATCTTGGACATGCCAGTATGTAATTTTTTTTTTTTTCGAAACTTCTCCATTTTTTAAAAACTATTTTTATGAGGATCTTATTCCTTTTTCAGTCCATCCAAACCAAAATGGTGTTCAATAAAATTGTCATCATTATTAGTATGTAGAATATTTTATCAGAACTGTTTTCAGAATCTCAACAAAACTAATTATTCATTGTGATCATTATAGTAGATCGCTAATATCGCCATTTTTATCACCACTAAGTTACCCATGTTAGATTATAGGATAAACAGTTCCCTGAAAAATCAAAATTTTTATTTTTTTTTTGGAAGTTTTTCATTTTTTATTTTTTTCAATTTCGGGTGCTAAATTTAGTTTTTAAGTTGTTTTTTTGTACAAATTATCTAAGTAAGTACCTATATTAATTGCGTTAACATTTTTTTATCAAATCTTACTTCTAATTTTGACATATTTTCTGACCAACTACTACTGTTTGATGCATCAATTCTCTTAATTATATTTTTTTAAATATGTCTTAATTTCAAATAGGATTTATGTTTTAATGTTTGAATAAAGTTTATTTTATATCGAATTGTATTCAGATCTGAAGCAATATTTATTCTATTATTTGTTCACGATATAGCTTTAAGTTGATTTTATTGTAAATAAAAAATTTAAATTACCTATTTTTTTTTTGTTGAAATTTCATCAAATTAGTTACCATATTAATTTGATATGCATCCTCGATATCTCTAATGAATCAATCTTCGAAAGTTCATCCAACTCTCTAGATTTTTGTTTCTAGAGAGTCACTTTTTCCAAAGCAGGTACTTATGCATTCCTTCGCGAAAACTTCAAAACTTCCAGCACACACCTATATTTTCAACCAAGTATTTTAGGGTGCCCTGGATCTAACTAAACTGCTGGAACTTCGATACGCATAAAGAAATTATTTGCCTATTTTTGACGTCATATCTCACAAATTATAAGATATATTTGATTGCAGTTTCAAGCATATTGGGGCGCATTGTTTGGTGTTCAAGGTAAATGGTATCATGCTGATGAACCGAAACGTTATCTATAGGGTTGCCAACTTTTAATTTTTGAAATCCACGACAAAGCTGTAAACAAACAAGGACAGAGTAATAAAAAAGGACACCTAATCAACGTTTTATTAATTTTAAACAAAATAAATTTGAAAAATATTAGTGGCTAAAAAAATGAAATAAACATTTTAAAAAACAAAAAATTAGGCTTACTTTTCATGCATCCGTTTTTCCGTCAATCCGATGATCCGGAAGTATTCCTATTGGTCCAGTATTTTGGCGCCAAAATATTGGACAAATAGGCATAAGCGTTTCCGGATCATCGGATTGACGGAACAACGGATGCATGAAAAGTAAGCTTTGCCTTTAAATCTTAATTTCTAACTATACTAACTGCGTCGTTCGCAAATGACAGTGCGCAACAGTGCAATGTTGTCGGATGTCATCATAAATAGTGAAAACATCTTTTATTCTATATTATTTGAGCAACTGGCTAAAATCCAAGACAAAATGCGTTCTTCTTAAGGGCTCGGAAGGACGAAGGACAAATCTATTAAAATCGCTCGAAATCCAGGGCGTCCTTCCTAATACAGGATGGTTGGCAACCCTAGTTATCTACAACATACTGGGTGGATAAGAAAACAGTGCAAAGTTTAACAAATTTCAGGGCGTTGCCATTTCTTTTCAAACATACTCCGGCTTTTTTTCTGGGTTTAAGAAGAATCAGTAGTTTAATGGTAAAAAACAACTTGAAGGGTTTTCGAATAAATCTCGTAGTTTTGCAGAAATTTCAGTTTAACTGAAAAACGACTTTCATCACCCTGATTCTTTGTCTCACTTAATCGAAACAATGTTCTTCATTATTGTTGGTTCAACGTTTTCGTCTTTTTTTGTTTTGAGAGATTTTATACGGGGTGAAAAAAAAGTAAGTTCTTAATATTAATTATTGGGTGGTCCGAAAAGATAATTGCGCCTCAGAGTAACTAGAGATAGTACACGTCCAAACACGTAACATGTACTACGATTTATAGGGGGCACAGTCCTCTTTGTTAATTGATATGGTACCAACCTTTCTCAGCTTTATTAGGCAATTTTTCGCGAGGATGCTCAAGCATAATCGATTATGCTGGATTATGTGATGTGTCAATTGTGTCATGTTACCTTAACTCCCCCACCATCAAATTCTGGAAAACTGGAGGAACAAGAAAACATAATTTCTTCTGTGAGAACAGACGGAAAATCACCTTTCCTACATTTAAAATCGACAAAAAAATTAACTCACTAGCACAGCCTGAATCGCAAGCATGCCATAAAGAGGTCTGCGTTAGACGTCATCACTATAAGCTGCTGATAGTGACGACACTAGCAGGCCCAGAATTGGATGAAGACGGAGTAGGGGAGTATGACACAATTGACACATCACATAACCCAGCATAATCAGATTATGCTTGATTATCCTTGCGAAAAATTGCCTATTGTATGACCATTCTGAGAGCAAAATATGATTATTTATATATACTCGAGACGCCGACATATTTGGTGAATTATCAGCACGTACCATGTCATAAGGGGGACTATTTATACAGGGGTGGTCTCTCCCAAACTTGCTTAAAAATCCTGCATTCTCAGATTTCGTTATCTGGAGGTTTCCGAACATACAAAATTGAATGATTCAATGATATCGGCGCTGCTGCCAGATCCACCAGCTTTGCCTTACATCATTGTCCAATTTCGTTTGCCCAGAAACCTCCAGATAATGATAATATATGGGAAAGCAGCATAAGTGAGTTTGGAGAGATTCAACCGTTCCGGTACTTTTTACCACCCCTGTGGCCCCCTTACGACATGGTACGTGCTAATAGTTCACCAAATATCTCGGCGTCTCGAGAACAGAATAGATTTTTCACCTAGGAAACATAATATAATCATATTTTGCTCTCAGAATGGTTATACAATAAAGCAGAGAAAGATTGGTGCCATATCAATTAACAAAGAAATATGTGCCCCCTATAAATCGCAGTTCATGTTACGTGTTCCGACGCGTGCTATCTCTAGTTAGTCTGAGGCGCAATTATCTTTACGGACCACCCAATACCTAATTAGTATTAAAAACTTACTTTTTTTTTTCACCCTGTATAAAATCTTCTTAAAACAAAAAAAGACGAAAACGTTGAAGCAACAATAATGGAGAAAATTGTTTAAGTAACTGAGACAAAGAATCAGGGTAATGAAAGTCGTTTTTCAGTTAAACTGAAATTTCTCCAAAACTACGAGATTTATTCAAAAACCCTTTAAGTTAGTTTTTACCATTGAACTACTGATTCTTCTTAAACCCTGAAAAAAAGCAGAAGTATGTTCGAAAAGAAATGGCGACGCCCTGAAATTCGTTAAACTTTGCACTGTTTTATTGTTCACCCAGTATGTTGAAAATAACGCTCTGTTCATCAACACGATACCATATACCTTGAACACCAAAGAATGCACCCCAATATGCTTCAAACCGCAATAAAATATCTCGTATACTTTCTGAGATATTTGACTTCACAAATAGGCAAAAAATGTCTTTATACGTATCCAGCAGTTTAGATAAGATTCCATGAAAAACATTTTATACCTGCAATGAGTACAGTTCTCGTGATAATAACCATTTCTTGCATTCCTATTTACTTATCAGCGTTTTCGACATCATTTTTCCAAATCCTTCCCAAATCCACCCCAGTTGTTGTTAATTTCTTGTGGAAATCGCCAGTTAAGAAAAACAAGAGGGTATTGCTGTAACTTAAAAATAAGTTTAACACGTAGGTAGCTATCGCAGAGACATCACGGTTAGAGTTGCAGCGTTATGGGTAAGTGAAGCATAACAAGTAGAGATGAGTATTAAAAAGAACTGGCTCTAACACGCTTTCCTGTTACCATTTAGCTGTCAATAAAGAATAACAGCGTGCTGGCGGTTGAGTGCATCAGATAGTCTACCTAGTAGTTTCCAATTTCTGCGGAGTCCGGACAGGAAAAGTCCAACGACTATGAGTTTGCTGTCTAATCGAATAATAAACGCCAGGATAAACTATACCATCTATTTTAGTTCAAAGTTGCCTCTAAACAAAACCCAGAGTCTTCTTAAGCTCCACAAAAGCAACCTTTTGGTGCTTCTACAAAGGTCCAAATCTACTGAGATGCAGATATGGAATTCAGCTGCCTACTCAAAGATCCTCCTTTTTTTTAGCTCCCGATGGAAGCAGCGTTTTCAAGAACTCTTTACGTGGTTGGTGATGACTTGATCAAACTACCTCAAAAGATTCACTCAAAATCCTCTAACTGACGTTCTTTTAAAAAAGATATCAAGTAGGTACTTGAGAATGTTTAAACTGTCGGGAGTCCCTGGTTGAGCTTTTTAAGGTGGGCGGCCCGACGCTGGTCGAACACAAACATGGGTTTATGAGAAAGATAACAACTGATGAGAGCTGGTCCACAAAAACGACCCGGCTACAATTGACCATCAATGTGGGAGAAATTTTGAGTATAGAATAAGCTTATTTGGCCATTAAAGAAACCGCACAGATAATGATGCTGTCAAGAGACATAATTAGATTAAAAAGTAAATGCTTTTAATGATGATGATATCATGAGTAGTATTTAGGCTTCTCTGGCGTTTGTTTGATTTCCTCCCTATCTGCATACTCATTTTTCCGTTAGAGCAGGTTCCGCCATCTATTGTCCTTGCGTTGCACCTGTAGCATTTCTGCCTTCGTCGTGGCGTCGTGAATTAAAATGGTACCTTTCACCACAGAATATATGGGTACCTACTTTCACCAATTCTGTTCCCTAGGGTTGATGAATGGTGCTAGTAGATGAGGTTGATAACGATGGAGAGAAACTCGCTCAAGTATGAAAATATTTATATTATCAGATGTTTCCTCACATGGATCCTATTCCGGCCACAGTAGGTTACTGCTGCTTCAGGACCATTGAGCTCCTGATAAGCTACCCGCCTAAAGGTCACGTGGGTTCGGAAATACTTTGAATCTGTGTGTTTTATTCAAGACTACGTCTGAACTTCAACGGTTATTCAACACCGGAAGTTAAGTTTTGAAGTAAAAACTACCGGACTAAATCTCTGAGGCAAATATCGGGGCGTGTGAGTGAAGAATCTATCCTTTATCTATTTCTATGGTTGTAACTAAGTGAACTGAATAACATTTTTAGAGAATTAGAAAAACAAACTGTAAAGGCCAATATCACACGCTACCGAGTACACCTCGTCTACCTATTGGAGTTGCTAGTCCAGGAGGGACAGGGCCGCCCCTAGGGTGTTAGCCGCCTGTGTGCCCAGACAATTTTCGCCGCCCCACTACCCTCTAAAATACAAAATTAAGAGCGTTGGAATGGAATTTACAAGAACAATGCAATTTTAAGACTTCAAGACTCAGCATATGAGAAGTGGTAGACGAAGAAAAGACCACACGAAAGGTATTTGCGCCTGACAATATTAGCCAGTCCTCCTTGCTTATAATCCTTAATTGGTTTGTGACAATAGTTCGTTGGCTGTCATTTTCATTGGCTGCCTTTCTCGGTCTCTCTACGTTACATCTTTCTTCTCTCTCAATTAACGAAGTTTTCCAAAACCCCATTCTCGTTCAA